CTGTAAATAATTGACAGATAATATTAATTGGCTTTGGATTAGTGAGCAAGCAGAGGATCACACATTAATATTTGATCAGAAGATGATAGCAGCCCTGGCAGGGGATCCAAGGGGGGCAGCTGAGGCTTCTATGTTGATGAGCACAAGGAAGGACTCTGCAAGGCACTCCCATTACCCTCCTCCAGAAATATAAAAAAGAAAAATTTTAAAGACCTGATGCTACTGTTAACTTTAGACTATTACCTAATGCAAAAAAATCTTGCCAGCTGCAAATTGCCCTCAATATATTTTTCCAGAGAAAATGAGTCTTAAACCTGCTTGACTTTTCTTCTCTAATCAGCAGCAGCCTCCTTTTCATCGTTACAGATGTTGGCTTGATAAACCTTAAGCACCAGTTTCAGACTGGGGAGAAAAGGAGAATGAGAGAAGAATTCTTTCAAGGAACAAATGTAAAACTCGAGCTTTTAAAAGTAAAATATGTCCTCCCCCAATTGCTTATGAACTATAGAGATATAGATATAGATATAGATAGATAAGGTGTCCTTTAAAACAGAATACTTTTAGCTCATTGGTATAAACCAAGGGTCATGATATGATGTTCTCTCTGACATAATTAGACTTGCTCAGAAACTATAAAAATATAAAGGTGAAAGTTTCCTGGCCATTTGCTTAGAAGGGAATTACTAAAAGGGTCATTTCATTCTTAAATCATAATTGCAAGATAATCCAATACCATGTCTGTAAATCATTATAGAAGTACACTAATTAAAAGCTATTAGCACTCCATTTACTATTGATCAGGAAAACATTCAATCTTTTCTAGTAAGAAAATGATCTGATTCTTCAGAGACACATCAGTGGGAGGAATCAGGATAACATCTACTTGGGAAATCATGTACCAGTGCAAAAGACTTAGGGAAAAGCAGGGCATGAGTGTCTGCCCTCTCAGAGTGATGTCGAAATCTGTACTACTCACTTTTCATATTGATCTGTAAAAATCACACTAAAACACCAATTTGCTTCTCTCTGCAAGTGAATTCATGTAAAAGTTTAAGCCTTCCATAGCACAATACAGAAACACAGTTCATTGTTCTTCTGTTAAAAAAAAAAAACAAAACAAGAAAAGAAAAGCCCTATTTGTTCACCATATTTAAATTCTAGATACATGAGTTTTCAAGTCAATAAAGTTAGTGGATGATAATTTTAAAACCCCAGGAACTAACAACAAAAGCATGAATATTCAGAAAGTCACATCACAAGTTGAGCTACCCAAATTGGATGGTGCAAAAATATTGAAACCATATACAGATCATTTCAGCTTTTATAATGTCTTCTAGTTTACTTAAAAACAAGGATTTGCTTTTGTTCCTTACTCTCATCCTCAACTATAAGGAAGGGACCTGTAACATATCTAGACTGGGACTAACAGAATGCTAGAGTAATAAAACCAATTCTACCACTCAAGGCTGCCTAAGTGGAAAAGTCACTGACTATCTTTGGCCGAAGGCAGTGGAGAACCTTTTAGAGCTTTCAATCATACAAACAACCTACTGCAGCACTAGTGCCATACGTGGCTTTGCCACCACTGGCTTAAAAGGTTAAAACTATACAAAGACTTAGCCCTAGTGAGACAGTAGGCCAGAGAGTGCTAACAGTATGGCAGTAAAAGTGCTACACCTTGAATAATCCTTCTTGCTTGGGACCAGAAGAATTATAGATATTGGAGTTTTTCAGATATTTGGAATATTTGCATAGATTTTACTGGTTGAGCATCCTTAATCCAAAAATCTAAAGTCTGAAATTTTAAGTAATGCAGACTTCCAGATAAGGGATGCTCAACCGAAAAAAAATTAGCAAGATCCAAAGGACAACGTGAGGGTGGGCCAAATAGCTCAGTGGATTAAAGTGCCAGGCACAGAAGGCTGGGGTTCAATCCCTAGGACTACTGTGCTGGCCTCGCCCCCGGGGCATGCTGACATGGTGACAGACTGGGCAAGGTGGCACATGCCTATAATCCCAGCACTTGGGAGGCTGTAAATAGGAGAATCACTATGAGTCCAATCTAGCAGTGAGACCTTGAACACCCTATAGACCTTTGCCTAAAATACAGGAAAAAAAAAAAGGACAATGTGTTACTTAGAAACCTTCTAAAAGTATGTCAATAGTGGCTGAACAAGGCAGCAGGGAGATCAGAAAAGTGAGAGGAGAGAAGAAGGAGGATGCATTAAAGGAAAATGCAGTTGGTATAACCTACACCTTAAAATTTGGCCAACAGACCAACAGAGCTTGGGAAAGCCACAAAAATCACCTCTAGCTTATTTATCTTCTGCCAATTGTCATGTGATTAATACTCTTCAATTAGATAATTTCATAGAGAAATGACTCATAAATCTTTATCGTGTCCTCTTTCTTGCAGTACTTAGTGCTTCTTGGGAAGCACAAAACACTGATGGAAATAAAACCAAAAATTTTACTTTTCTATCACCATTTAATTTCGTGAGGGGTGAACATCAGAAACCAAACTTCATGATGTATTCTTCAACTTAAAAAAATTAAGTTTCTTATCCATAGGAAACAATTCTTAATCTCTTTAATCAACTCCATTAATAAGAAGCCATATTAATAAAAATGTGCTACTATAAAATAAAATTTTATTCTTATATATAACAGCGAATTGAAAAAGAAAAGAGAAACAGATGGAAAAAAAATCAACCCATTTTTAACTCTGAAAGTAAAGATAGCACTGGCATGCCAAATGTGGACCATTCCAACTGTATGACCCTAAACACTATCTAGATAGGCAATGTAAACACTGCCCATTAAATTCTTTCAATTGTCCTTAAGACTACCCCTGGGGCTGGGATTTAGCTCAGTGGCACAACACCTGCCTGGCAAGCATGAGGTCCTGAGTTCAAGTTCTAGTATCCCCCTCCCCCAAAAAAACCCAGTGCTAAAGTGAGGGTCCCAGATTAACAAAATAATATTCCTAGAAAATATTGTTTACTACAATTAAAGCACAAAACTTTTGTTTAGTTTTATGCCCTTGAGACCCCTGAGAGTTATAAAAACAAACTCTAGAGGTCCTTAAAATTCTCTAAAACAATGCTTTAAAAAAAAAAAAAAAAAGGCAGTCCTTCTTAAAACCAAACTTTAATCTATTAAGTTCCATTCAATTAGCTCAAAGATCCAGTCTGATAGTTAATAAACCTATGAAAGCCATTTTGTAAAAATTAACAGAGACTGCAAACAATTTATTGGAATTTTCTTTAAACGTCTATTTTGCACAGGAGGTTGAAATTTTTTTCACATTGAGTTGATCACAATGCCATAATGTCACCAAAATATCGACATTGGAAACATCTGAGTTAAAAAGGTCCAAATACAATCTGCTTTTCTCAGGCAACACAACACCCGCCTTACTAACAGTTTCAGCATGGCACATGTACAAAACCTAGCACCCTGCAGTTAAGCAAACCGCCTTTAAATTTTCTGTCTGGCAGCAATCCACTTGCGTGTCTGTATGTTTTTACAAGTACTCTATGTATTTCATTGCGTCAGCTGCATTTCTTTGAGTTTTAAATGGTCTGGGAACATTTTATGAAATGTTCTATATCTTTATATGGAAAATAACATACACTGGAAAACTGCATTGGTCTAATATTTATATATCTATTTCTTTATCCACCATCCAGTGCTATAATTGCTAATGTTCCAAAACACCTTCTCACATTCATACACTCATCGCCAAATGCAGTGTCACCAAACAGCTAACTTTCAACACAAAAATCTGCAGATGAGAGTACTTCCATGGAAGAAAGTAATATAACAATTTGCTGAGGCAACTGGCAGTAAGAATAGAATTATCTACATATGTCAAGTTTATTACCTAAGAATTGTGTCTCACAGAAAATTAAAAACATAGAACATTCTGCTTATCCTTCTCTCTCAGCCACCTTCTCCTGACTTAAGTAACAACTTCTTCCAAATTTAATGTTTCATCATTTCATTTTATAGCAAAAAACATTGTATTTAAAATATAATATGTTATCATCTGATAAGAGCCCACATTATCTTTTCACCAAACACAGCTAAAAGAGGCAGTTGGCTTTTAACAAGATTTCAGATCATGTGCCTTCTTCCAGTTCTGTGGCCACAAATGGGGCTGTCCCCACAGAACTGTGTTCACTGCTTTCCCCTAACACCAGAAGATTTCCAGCCTTAAAACATACATCTCCTAGAGTGAGACTGTCCCAACAGTCAGAGAGCACGACCATGCTAAAAGACAGTATCTTCACAGCAGGAAAAAACTGATCTTCAGAACAAACATTTCTTACTTCTTTTCTTTTTCAAGAAAAGTTTTCTTCAACCTCAATAGTACATGTTTTCTAGTCTTCTGCTATACATGCTTTTAAATCTTTAAGATATACCAGATTGCCACAGTATGTTTAATTAATAGAATAAGAGTTTGGGCAAGACTTACTGGAAAGGTGCTATAAATTATTTTACACAGGCTCCAAAATCCTTGAGTTCTGCCTTAGGCTTAAAGTTCCTAGAAAACGTGGTAGACAGATCTTTTACAACAGAAATACAAAATAATTCATAAAATTACTGGTTATGTATATGGGCTCATTTGCACATCAGTAACTAGTATGTTGTACACACACACTCACACATGCAGACCATACCAAATTATTTTCCTCTGTGACACCAATGACTCTGCTTGAAGAATTAAGGCATGGTATATTTTTAAATTGATTTCTGGAAAATACACTGACTTTATTTTGTATACAAAACTATACTAACCAAATGTCACTAAAATCTATAATTGGGGCTCTTTTTTAGAAAATTTAAGAGAAGCTGGAAATGCTAACCATTAACACGTGAATCTACAGTGCTTTCACTTTTAAAATGCTAAGTTTCATGGAAAAACATTACATTTAATGCCTACTGAATTTATCCTATCATCTGTAGAATATTTCACTAAGAAACAAAATACTGAA